TGAATCAAATGCGTTAATATGTTAGGGAGTGGTTGCACTGACCCCTGGGCGCACAATGATGCGTCGAAGCAGAATGGTTTAGGATTTATTTTTACTTTCAGATTAGTCTCAGGACAGGCCAATTCAGGTATCCAGTATTTAGTATCAAGGTCAGAAAAGGCCATAACTCCGTATTTATTATCTCGGAATTCTATTGTTGTAGTGTGGTTTATCTTCTCATTCATGATGGTTACAGCTTCGTAATCGGCATCTCATGGAAAATTTAAAAATTGAATGAGTAGAATTGGAAGAAAGTCTAAAGGTAAAGATGATTTTAGGGCATGTGGGCGCATTTGCACTTGATTTGTACCACGCAAGAAGAATTATTAGTATAGTAGAAAGTATAGCAGATTGTGAAGGAGCTGCTGTTGAAGGAATGACTGAGATAAGGGGGCTTAGGGAGAGGATTGAAAAACTGGGAACTTCTTGGCAGGCATTGATGCAGTTCACAGTCCAGACCCCAGGTCGGACTGGCCTAGCTCCAGCCCCTATCCGGCTGTGTTTGGCGTTACTAATCTTCCCGTATGGACCTCAGTTTCTCAGTGATGGGTTTGCTGTGTCCCCGCGGATCTTGAATTGTAGCTCCCTATTCCCACGGGTTGTTGGAGGGGCCCTGGTAAGTTAATGGAATCATGGTGTTCGCTCCATTTTACTGTTCTGTCATGGTAATGAATACAAGTCTCAGGGATCTGATGGGTTTATAGGGGAACCCTTGGTGTTTGGTTTCTCAATTTTCTCTTCTTCCCTGCTGTCATGTAGACGGTATCTTTTGCTTTCCTGGGCCATGATTGTCGCGCCTCCAGCCATGTGGAATGTGGCCATTAACCTCTTTTTTTAATTAATTACCAGTCTTGGGTTATGTCTTTTGAGGCAAGTGGAGAAACAGGGAACTAATACATCTCAGCAATGTGGATAATAGGTTTAATAATCACAACACATAGAGGTGAAGGCAATTAAATGATTAAAGGTGTTTGGAAATACTTAGCATGCTGTAAGTGTAGGTTTAAGTGTTTGGTGTATTCTCAGACTTGCCTCCATGGTCTTTTTGTTTATTTACTTCACTGCACAGCCCTCTTTTTGGCATTGGCCTCATGTTAAAAAAAAAAAAAAAAAATTATATATGGTTATATATATCGTCTCAAAATAAAATAAAATAAAATAAAATAAAATAAAATATTTATGGCTTTTTGATAAAATACTATGTCAGGCAGAGCTTCAAGCCACTGCCTTGAGAGCTACACCTTTCAACTGAGGCTCCTCCCACGTGATGTAAACTGTGCACATTAACATAAAAATGGCTTTTCTCTTGTTAATCTATCTTTTGTTACAGAAGGCTTGTTCCAGCTATCAACTTATGAAGGTAGAGGGAAATTACATGTTCTTCCCTCAGGCTCATGTTCATGGAGGTCCCTGGTCTTACTGGTACCCCATCATCCTAAAGCGGGAATGTGAGAGCTGCTGACCTCTGTGATTGAGGTTTGTTCACTGATAATAAATTATTGCTATTTGTAGCATTTCACAAATCATTTGCTTGCATTTGCCAGGGATGTGTGTGTGTGTGTGTACACACACACACACACACACATATATATATATATATATATATTTTTTTTTTTTAACATGAGGCAATGCCAAAAAGAGGGGCTGGTGAGTGAAAGTAAGAACAGAAAGACATGGAGGCAAGTCTTGTAGAATAACAGCCAACACTTAAACTTACACTTACAGCATGCTAAGTATTGTTCCAAACACTTTAAATTCATTTAATTGTCCTTACACGTCTATGTGTTTGGTGATTATTAACCTTATTATTCACATTGCTGAGTGTATTAGTCTGTTCTCATGCTGCTGATAAAGACATACCCAAGACTGGGTAATTTATTAAAAAAAAAGAGGTTTAATGGACTCACAGTTCCACATGGCTGGGGAGGCCTCACAATCATGGCAGAAAGCAAAAGATACGTCTTACATGACAGCAGGGAAGAGAGAGAAATGAGAACCAAACAAAAGGGGTTTCCCCTTATAAAACCATCAGATCTCCTGAGACTTATTCATTACCATGAGAACAGTATGAGGGAACCACCCCCATGATTCCATTATCTCCTACCAGGTCCCTCCCACAACCTGTGGGAATTATGGGAGCTACAATTCAAGATGAGATTTGGGTGGGGACACAGCAAAACCACATCACTGAGGAAACTGAGTCATAGGGAGATTAGTAACGCCCAACACAGCTGGTAGGTGGTGGAGCTAGGCAGTCTGACTCTGGGGTCTGGACTGTGAACTGCATCATGCTGCCAAGAAGTTCCTCAGTTTTTCATCTCTCTAAGCTTCCCTTATTCCCCTACAGTCATTCCTTCAACAGCATCTCCTTCACAATCTTTTCTACTTCTACTATATAATTAATTTCTTCTTCTTGGTACCAAATTCCAAAGTGCAAATGCAGCCTCACATGCCCTAATTCATCTTTACCTTTAGACTTTCTTCCAATGTTTCTACTTCATTCAATTTTAAATTTATCCATGAGATGCCTATTTACAAGCTGTAACCATCATGAAGTGAATGAAGAATAATACCTACTACTACACAATAGAATTCCGAGAGTATAAATAGGAGTTATGGCTTTCTGACTTGATACTAAATACTTGATACTTGATTTTGCTGTCTGAGATCTAATCTGAAAAGTAGTAATAATCGCTAACATTTGTTGAGCGTCAATTGTGGGCCAGGTGTCATTTCAATCACTCTCTACATATTAACTCATTTGATTCTACAACAACCCGGTGAGACAAGTTTTGTTATTCTATTTTACAGTTGAGGAAACAGAGGCATAGAGAGTTTAAGTAATTTGCCCAGTGGATAGCCAGAGGTGGAGCCAGGATGGGTCTCAGGCTGTTTAACAGCATAGCTCAAGTCTTAACTACTATGCCAACAGCTTTTTGGTCCTACATATTCCATGGGAAGAGGAAAATAAAAAGGTATCTATTTGTATACCTTTTTATTTCTGATATAAGAAGCAGAATTTCTTTCATGTGACCTATGTCTATTTAATACGTCATTTTGAAACTTACCAGTAAACTTTCCCAAGTGCCAGAAAACCGTTAGTGGCTTTTTCCTTTTCTCTCTAATTTTTATTGTGCTACTATTTTTGCTCCTTTCCCTCAGAAGGCTGCTGGAATAGTAAACATTCACTGACATTTCACGACAACTGGAAAATGGGCACTGGAAAATCACATTATGATTAATTCAAAGCATATTTTCCAAATGTACGACTTTAAATTGGGGCTTATATCATAATCAAAGGAAATCTTTGTGTGTTTACTGTTACCACGTTGCTCAGCACAGGAGTGATTCACCTTGCCCTGTCTCCAGACCATCTCCCATGGAAGGGGGTGACCCCTTTGCCTCTTGGCAACCACTGCTTCTAAGCTGCCAACATCACCCTCGCATTATCAACATTCTAACTTCATGGGAAGGGCTGTGGTGAGTTTCTGGAATGTGAATAGGAAGTTGTTTTTCTAAACAGCCTGACACTGAGGGGAGGCAGTGAGATTATAAGAAGTCCGGGTTAGGCGGAAGGCAGAAAACCAGCAGAGTCGCAGAGGAGATGGTGAGTTCATTTTTTTTTCTGCATGGGAAGTGGTTGAAGTGAGTTGGAGTGGTTTGGGACTAAGTCAGGCAGGTAAAGTTTCAGAAAGTGAGGAACAGCGATAGCCATGGAGTTTTATGTTGAATTGCCTATTAGATTTTGTGAGTACTTTTAAACTTGCTGTCCACTTTGACCCTCCCAACATCTTTGTGAGTTGAGGTTGCTATTTCTATTTTACCAATAAAGTCATTGTGGCTTACAGAGGCTTTGTTTTATCTATGCTGCACTGTTAGGCTACATGATGTTGGGATCTGGGTCCTGTCCTCTGGCTCTGCAGCTGCTGTTCCTCCTACTGGAATCTACGGGGGCTCTCTGAGAGTAGATCATGGCAAACCTGTCACCCCATTTTCCAAGACTGCACTTCTGTCTGGGATAAATGATGGAATAAATGGAAGACTGGGCAACTGCCCTGGGACAAGCTTACAATGGAAGAGTTTCTCATCCCCATCCCTCCCATTTCTTTCTGTGAGCCTATGAATCTTCTGGGACTGATCTGGAATATACACATAGTTTCCATTTCTGCCCTAAGTCTCAATCTTGTTAATGACTCAGTTTCTTCTTCTATAAAATGGATATAGTAATAAAACTCTATAGTTTTATCATGAGGATTAAATAAGATTTTGCTGAAAAGCATCCAGATCTGAGCCTGACACATAGTAAGTGATTAGTAAATGTTAGCCATTATTGTTACAAGAAAAAGAACAATCTTAGGAATGGTGGGGTTTAGGATTCAGGAAAGATCCAAGGATAGCTAGGCATTTTGAACTCAGCAATGTTATATGCACCTAGATAAAATGCATATGGTTAGGCTACTTCTAATTTTCCCCAGACTTTCCAAGAGTATCCCACGTAGTCCCAGGGTCTGAAATCCTGCAGTCTGTGGCTATGAAGGAAACAGGCAGCTCTCTGTTTTTGAGCACTTTTCTGTGGGACTCCAGAAAAAAGTACCGCATACATCTGATTCATCCCACTTCTTTGCTTTACTATAGCACACTTTTCAAGTACTTATAATGTGGGGTTCCGTGTTGGGGAAAACAGGAATGAGAGTATGATAAAGAGAAGAGGAAGGAGTTTGAGCCTGTCCTAAGTTTGAACCACAATGACATAAGGATATGAGTTACTTTTGTCTTATCTTTTTGCATGTCATACTTCTGAATTGGTTAACTTAAATAAGCAGTTCTTCCTCTCTTCCTTCTACTCTCCTTGGTATCCTTCTGTATTTCAAAGGTATGAACTTATTGGATCATAGAGTTCTTTGAGATTTTGATGAAAGTTACAACTTGTCTTTCCCAGATGAAAGCAAAAACATCCACATAAACACCAACCTTTAGAGACAACCGCAGGAGGTTCCCAAACCTCCGTGTGGATCCCAGGATCAGAACCCTTCTCGATTGCCTCCTGTGCTTTGTGTTCAGAAGCCCCTCTGTCGGCACCCTGAAACTAGGCTTGAGCTCTACAATGAAGTGCTAAGACCCCAGCCCTGGAATTGTTTTTAGTATATCAAAGACAAGACCTCTTCCTTTCCCTCTGAGCACATTTGGCCCCAAAGATTCAGAAACCTCAAACTGCCAGTGTAAGTTTTGCTTCCAGTTCAGAGAGTGGCTTTAATTAACTTTTAGGACCTGAGAAAATGAGGATAAGGTTTTTCTGGTGGGGTGTTTTCAATCAGATAGATCTGAGGAGTAACTCCTGACTGGGAACTTCTAGTTAAATTGCATTGATGTTTGTCAAAGTTTTAGCAGGCTACGGCTGGGCGCAGTGGCTCATGCCCGTAATCCCAGCACTTTGGGAGGCCGAGGTGCATGGGTCACTTGAAGTCGGGAGTTCAAGAGCAGCCTGGCCAACAGGGTGAAACACCATCTTTACTAAACGTACAAAAATTAGCTGGGCATGTTGGCATGCGCCTGTAATCCCAGCTACTCAGGAGGCTGAGGCAGGACAATCTCTTGAACCCAGGAGGTGGAGGTGGCAGTGAGCCGAGATCATGCCACTGCACTCCAGCCTGGGTGACAGAGCAAGACTCGTCTCCAAAACAAAACAAAACAAAAAGTTTTAGTGGGCTAAGGAGCAGGTCTGGATTATTTTCCATTTATACCTTTTAACCACCTTAGCTATGTGGCTTCTAGTCCTTACTCTTCTTTTCATTACCTGTTTTTCAAAATGCAACTAAAATAGTTCAGACTCTCCTGGGCTGGCCACCAGCTCTTAGAATGTGCATCTTCAGAGATCTTTAAGTCGAAGCTTATTAATCAAATCCTCAAAAATCAAAATGACTTACTACATAAAAAGCTGTGCTTAGAAAAAACCCTGGACCTAACCCTAGAGAGTAGGTACACAGTGGTTTTATAAATGACATTTGTTATATTGTCTTCAAGGTGTCTAATCTCTCTGATTGAAAAGTAAATCTGAAACTTTATGAAGTCAAATGCAGAGCAAATCCTTACTATTTGTAGAGATATAACTCATCTCTGATCCAATAGACTTTTTAAAAAATTTAAGTGTGGTACTTTATTTTTAATGCTAATATTTTACTCAAAATAATGGCAATTAGTAGTCTAAATTAAGTATATGCTTGGATTCTAAATGTTGATGTCCTAGGTCCCTTCCTGTCTATATTCATAATTTGCTCTTTGGCTTAGAGACAACCTCTTTTCTCACTGTATTTCTTTTTCCACTCCTAAGCTGGGCTACTCGTATCTGTGCCACACCACTACCACAACCACCATCCAGAAACATAAGGTGTTGGGGGCCGCACCGGGGGTGGTGGAGAATGAAAGAACACACACAAAGACAAAGACACACAGAGAACATGGCGGCCGCACTCAGAGCCTCCGCCTCACTTTATTTATACTCCATAAACCTCACGTCAGCAGAAAGAATGCAATGCAAACAAACTTTCTTTTCCCACATGTAACCTTCTACTCAGTACCTTGTTTCTATATTCTTTCTTATTTACCCGCCTTCTTGGCGCCTACGGGAGTTCATTAAAAGTTCAGTTGGAGATACTGTCCTTGAGCCCTATCTATTCTCAGCATACTGTTTTCAAAGGCCCCTGCAATAAGGGAACTAATGTATTAGCTGTAATAGCTTGTAACATCTGGGCTTTGCTACCAACAAGTTGTATAGCTCTGCGTCCTCCATGACTCTCATATTCACCTCCCCCATTTGCATTCCCACTGATGCCAGACCAAACCAGTCCCTCTTTAACTCGCACTGGACCATTGCAATAGCCTCTTCTTTTGCAGTGCAATCTCCCTGATTCTAACTCATTAAAAAAAAAAAATCGTACCACTCTCACCCCTATAATCTCAGCATTTTTGGAGGCCAACAAAAGAGTTTTGCTTGAGCCCAGGAGCTCCAGGCCAGCCTGGGCAATATAGTGAGACCTTATCTCTACAAAAAATTAGCCGAGTACGGTGATGCATGCCTGTAGTCCCAGTTACTCAGGAGGCTGAGCTGGGAAGATCACTTGAGCCTGGGAGGTGGAGGTTTCAGTGAACCCCGATCATGCCACTGCATGTTATCCTGGGCAACAGAGCAAGACCCTATCCCCCAGCCCCCCGAAAAAAATCATACCACCATTAAGTACATGTGTTCATGATACTTCTCTGTTCAGAACCCTGCAATTAGATCCCTTCTGCCAACTGGTATTTGTGACCCACAAGATCTGGTTTGAAACTACATTTTCAATTAAACTCAAGGACCTCCCAATCTTCAGCAGGCTGGAGTGCAGTAGCGCCATCTCAGCTCACTGCAACCTCTGTCTCCTCGGTTCAAGTGATTCTCCTGTCTCGGCCTCCTGAGTAGCTGGGATTACAGGCATGTGCCACCATGCCCGGCTAATTTTTGTGTTTTTAGTCGAGATGGGGTTTCTCCATGTTGGTAAGGCTGGTCTTAAACTCCTGAACTCAAGTGATCTGCCTGCCTTGGCCTCACCAAGTGTTAGGATTACAGGTGTGAGCCACCCTGCCCAACCTCCCTTGGCTTATCGTTGCACTTAGAATAAAATCTCATCTGCTTGTTTTGGATCCCAAAGCCTGATGTGATCTGTCACTACCCCCATCTCATATTTTTCTCTCCATTGCTCATTCCATTCTGGCCACACTAATGTCTTCATGTTCTTTGAACACACTGCAGTTTGCTTCCACCTTAAGGCCTTTGAAATAGCTTTTTCTTCTTCCTTTAATGCTCTTCTTCCTGATTCTCACTGACTGGTTTCTTGTGGTCATTCTTCTCTCCACTTAAACATTATCTCATTAAAGAGGTCTTCCCTGACGTTCCTGACCAACATAGTGACACAGTCATTCTATCACGTAAGTTTCATTTCCTACCTAGCGCTTATGGCTATATTCTATTAATATTTTTCATGTTTACTTGCTTAGTACTATTGTGTAGTTATTAGTATTTATTTCATTGTCATATCTACCAATAAAATGTGCATTCTATGAGGACTGGAATTATGTCCATCTTCACCATTTTATTTGTTCACTTAGATATTATCACTACTGTAAAAGTAATACACTCAGTTATAATTATTATGTATTTTTCCAACATTTTTCTATTTAACATATTTTTATCTTTCAGTCATTCCTCTGCCATTATTCATTCATTCATTTATCCATAAAATGTTTGTTAAGCATTGAGTATGTGCCCTACCATGGCTGGGGATTCAGACCTGAGTGAATAATGGTCCTTGCCCTTGAGAAGCCTCTGTCAGTAGCTTCCTCAGTTGTATACTCACATGTTTGTTGTGCATTTAAATTGTAGACCTTCTGCTCAAGCGAATATTCAGAAACGGAGATGTTGATTAGAGGACATTGGAAACAGATGACCATAAGGAGGTCATCTTTACTTCCCAGTAAAGCAGAAGAATGAGAAGAGAACAGGGCCATGGAAGTGGGAACCTAGAGAAATCCTTACCTCTGCAAGGGAAGGCAGAGGATTGAGGTAGATTCAGAAGA